CCCGCCACAAGCACAGAATCACAGAGCGGGCAGGTTGGAAGGAGGTTCTGAATGTCACCGAGCCCAGCCCCCGACTCGAGGCACCCACAACGGCTGCCCAGCACCTCCTCTAGGCGGCTTTGGAGCATCTCCAAGGATGGAGCCTCCACAACCTCTCCGGGCAGCCTGCTGCAGGGTTCTGCTACCCGGGGCCGTTCTCCGTATGGGAATGGGACGGGTCAGCAGAGGAGCGTGCCCACAGCCACCCCCTTCCTGGCGGGTTGCCAGCACCCATCCCTGCTGCCTCCCAGGGCCTGGACACGGGCCAGGCCGCCCAAGGGCAGGGCCACGGGTGCGCAGGGCCACGGCTGCTCCTCACGCCAAGCCCACCTCCTGGATGATGCTGTCGGACGCCGACTGCACTTTGGGCTTCTTGGCCGGAGATGCCACTGGCTCCACCTGCGCCTTGAAGGTCACCAGCTGCAGCTCGTAGTCCTGCCGGGGAAGGCGTCATCAGTGACACATCCTGGGGCCTGTTCCCATCCCCATTCCCTGGGAGCACCAGCCGCCTCCCTCTGACCCCGGCCACCCCCGAGCAGGCGCTCGCCACACACCTTGATGGCGTCGATGTACTGCTTGGCGTAGCGCTGGCACTCCTCCACCTTCTCCTTGTTGCGCTCGCACTCTTCCAGCAGTTTCTGCAGAGACATGGGGCTGTGAGGCACCGCCGTGCGCAGTGCCGCCGCACCAGCCCGCCCTCACCGCGTCATGCTACCTTCTCCTGCAACAGCTGCTCCCGCACGCTCTTGCTGTCCGTGATGGGCACTGCCTGGATCTTCTCCTGGCGCTGCTTGGCGTCCTGGATCCACTGCAGCAGCCCGTCGCAGCTCTCGCGGTAGTAGCGCAGCTGGCGGCCCAGCTGGTCCAGCTCACGCTGGCGCAGGTCGATCTGGGCGAGCACGGCCTGCCAGCGCTCCAGCAGCTGCTGCACTCTCTCCCGGTAGCGGTCCAGGTCCACGTCTCGCTCGCTGTGGCCCCGCACCATGCGCTCGTTGACATCCTTGGCCTTGCTCAGGTCGCTTTCCAGCGTGCTGAAGAGGGGCTGGTGCCCCTCCACCTGCGCGCGCCGCCGCTGCGGAGCAGAGCACATGTCAGCCCCTCTCCTGGCTGGCCCCGCTGCCCCTGGCCGCCCGGCACCGCTGCTACCTTCAGCTCAGCCTTGCTGGCCTCCAGCTCCTGCAGGTCAGCAGGCACAGTCTGCACATTCTTCAGCTGGTCCTCGTACTTCTTGACCAGCTCCTCAGCGCCCTGCGTGCTGCGGATCACCAGGTTGATGGTCTTCAGCCTACAGAGCGGGAGAGATTTAGCGACTGCCCGGAGCTTGGGCAGGCAACAAGGCACTGCCAGGCACACGGGAGAACACCCCAGGACAGGTCCGGCAGCCTCCACACCTTTCATGCCCACCCGGCCTTTCATGTCCACCCCTGGTTGCATGCACCCGGGTTCCCCCAACTCGGTGCTTTGGCCCCCCAGGACAGCTGTGGGGCGCAATGCGGAGCTGCGCAGGGCCAGGCACTCACTTCTCCAGGTAGATGCTGGACAGGCTGTACACCTGGTCCATCTTCTGCAGGGTGACCTCCAGTTCGGAGCGCAGCACAGGGGCTGAGCTGGCCTGCTCCGGCTGCGCCAACACCTTCTCCGTCTTCTCGCTGACCTTGTCCAAGTTCTTCTTGATGCCCTCCAGCTCCAGGTGGATTTGCTGCAGGGGACAGGGGCGATGGCTCCGCGTGCCGCCCTGCGCGGGGGCTGCCCGCAGGTCGCGGCTGGCAGCGCTGTGCTCGGGCACACGTGTTCAGGTACCTGCTGCTCAGAGATGCGCTGGGCGCACTCCTTGACCGGGTCCTTGTCGAGGGGCAGGCGGATGCGGTGGATGGTGCGGCTCTCACAGCCCTCCAGCTGCAGCCGGATGTCCTTCAGCTGCGAGATGTAGCTCTTGCACAGGGACTCGTCCTGCTCTCCTGCAGTGCGAGGCGAGGGTGGCTCAGCGGGCGGCGTGCGGGGGGCACACGGGGGCGCGTGGCCAGTGCTCACCTTGCTCCTGGCTGCGCAGCAGCAGTTCGAACTTGCGGGTGCAGGCGTTGTACTCGCGCTCCACGTGAAGCCGGTCGTCAGGCTGGAAGCTCTGCGCATCCTGGCTGTCGCGCAGGAACTCCTGGTAGTGCGTCTCCAGGCTGCGCAGCACCTGCCGGCACTCGTCCACCTGCAGCGTGCGGAACTGCGCGTGGCGCCCCGTCAGCTGGGCAGGGTGCAGGGGGCTGCCATGGGCTGTGCTCCATGGGCTGCACGGGGCTGCTGCAGGTGCTGCTCCTGCTCCATGGGCTGCAGGGGGCTGCCATGGGTCATGCTCCATGGGGTGCACGGTGCTACCACGGGACCCGCTCTGGCTCCATGGGGTGTATGGAGCCAGCCTGGGTTCTGCGCCACGGGACTGGACACCAACATGGGTCCTGCTCCCTCACCATGGCCTGTGTGCTGCCCCGGGTCCTGCACCGGTGCCAATGAGGATCTCATCTCGCCCCATGAGATGCACCATGCCCTGGGTTCCACTCCCTCCTCACAGATTAGCCATGCCATGCCCCATGCTACCCCGCTCCTGCTGGAGCTCGACTCACCGTGAGGTGCGACCAGGACTGGATCTGCTGGATGTCGCGCAGCAGGTACTGCCAGGAGAGCAGGCTCTTCATGTCCACATGCAGCTGGTGCCAGAGCACCTGCAGGTGCTGGTGGGCGGCCCTCAGCCTGCGGTGAGGCAGTCAGTGCCGTGGGACACACTCACACTCAGGTGCTCACACTCACGCTCGCACTCACGCTCATGTACTCACACTTGCACTCATGTGCCTCAGGCTCATGCTCACAGTCATGTGATCACAGTCATGCTCATGTGCTCACATTTGCCTGGGTTCTGCGCCACGGGACTGGACACCAACATGGGTCCTGCTCCCTCACCATGGCCTGTGTGCTGCCCCGGGTCCTGCACCGGTGCCAATGAGGATCTCATCTCGCCCCATGAGATGCACCATGCCCTGGGTTCCACTCCCTCCTCACAGATTAGCCATGCCATGCCCCATGCTACCCCGCTCCTGCTGGAGCTCGACTCACCGTGAGGTGCGACCAGGACTGGATCTGCTGGATGTCGCGCAGCAGGTACTGCCAGGAGAGCAGGCTCTTCATGTCCACATGCAGCTGGTGCCAGAGCACCTGCAGGTGCTGGGGGGCGGCCTCCAGCCTGCGGTGAGGCAGTCAGTGCCGTGGGACACACTCACAGGTGCTCACATTCATGCTTGCACTCACGCGCATGTATTCACACTTGCACTCATGTGCTCACACTCACACTCATGTGCCTCACGCTCATGCTCACAGTCATGTGGTCACAGTCATGCTCATGTGCTCACATTTGTGTTCATACTCACACACTCATGTGCTCACAGTCATGTTCACGCTCTTGTGCTCACACTCATGTTCACGCTCACACTCGTGCTCACACTTCACAGAATCACTGAATCCCAGAATGCTTAGGGTTGGAAGGGACCTCTAGGGATCACCCAGGCCAGCCCCCTGCTCCAGTAGGGACACCCAGAGCACCAGGTGGCATCCAGGCGGGTTTGAAGATCTCCAGAGAAGGAGACTCCACAGCCTCTCTGGGCAGCCTGTGCCAGGGCTCTGGCACCCTCACAGGAAAGAAGTTCTTCCTCACATGGAGATGGACCTGCCTGGGTTTCAACTTGCACCCATTAACCCTTGTCCTGTCACTGGCCACCACCGAGAAGAGCCTGGCCCCATCCTCCCTACACTCTCCCCTCAGGTACTTGAACATGTTGATCAGATCCCTCTCAGCCTGCTCTTCTCCAGACTAAACAGGCTCTGCTCGCTTATTCTCTCCTCACACAACAGATGCTCCAGTCCCTTCATCATCTTCATGCCCCTGCGCTGGACCCTCTCTAGCAGCTCCACGTCTCTGTTGTCCTGGGGAGCCCAGAACTGCCCCCAATGCTCCAGGTGCCTCCCCAGAGCTGAGCAGAGGGGCAGGATCCCCTCCCTCGTCCTGCTGGCAACGCTCCTCCTGCTGCAGCCAGGAGCCCATTGGCCTTCTTGGCCACAAGGGCACATTGCTGCCTCATGGGTAACTTGGTGTCAAGCAGGTCTCCCAAATCCCTCTCTGCGGAGCTGCTTTCCAGCAGGTCAACCCCTAATCTGTCCTGGTGCCTGGGGTGATTCCTACACTTGCGCTCACTCATGCTCGCACTCACTCTCGTGCTCGTGCTTACAGTCATGCTTGCGCTCATGCTCATTCTCACACTCATGCTCACACTGAAGTGCGCACTCGCGCTCACCGGTGCACGGCGTCCAGCGCCTCCCGGTTGGGCGGGGGCACCACGAAGCACACGGAGGGCACGATGGCCTCGCTGCCGGCGGTGCTCAACACCTTCCACTTATAGGGCTGCGCGTTGCTGAGCAGGGCGCACTCGTCGCCCTTGTGCAC